AAATCTGTCTGGGAAAATACTCATATTGTGTTTAACAGTTTGTACACATTCACAGTGAAGGAATAAGTAAGTTTTGATAGAACCAGCATATAATCGTGTTAGTCAAAGATGACTTACTCCTTTCTCATGATTGAACTGTAAACTCGTAATTAAACGATAAAGCTTACTCTTGAACTCTCAATGTCATTAAACTACTTCACTTTTGAAGTTTATTTAAGGTTGCTCCAAAACAGTTTAAAGTGTCTGATAAGTGTCCCACCATTTTTTGCGAATGTAGTCACTCAACTATCATCGGATATTTGTTATATCTCGCAAGTCTTTCTAGCAACCGTTGTCTGCTCAATCTTGAGGTGCCAAGCGAATATGTGGCACTAGTTGAGGAAGTCCCTGACGGTTTACTGGAACTGTGTTAGGGAAGTAGACTACATTGCTGGGGTTCCCAAGATAAAAGGAATCAGTAGTTGGAGACTTTTGGTGACGTGGTTGAAAATCGGTCACAGTGGTGCAGATATATTCACCACTTGACATCTTCTAAAGCTTGAATAATCTCACTAACCTATATTTTCAAACTGCTTATTTCCCCTCACAACTTCGTCTGCTTTGATGCCACTTTTTTTTCTATCCACGCGTTCTTTGCATACTACTGCAAAGTGTGGCAACCTGAAGCGATTCAGTTGTGTGCGAGGTTCTATGTTGATTTTGTCTGTTCCACTCAATCTTTGTATATATATTATTCACCTCCGCCTATCTATGGGGACGATGTACTGAGAATTGTACTTTATATTCAAAGATGATCACTTCTTCATAATTACTTGTCTACTCCCTTCCCTACTACATTCATAGGAAATTAAAGCGATGGCCATACACAAATTGAAACCATCTTTATATGTACAAGTAAAATTTGTTTTTACACTACACCTACCTTGGTAAACTCTGTTTTCTTACCAAGATTAGGATCAGCGATGTCACTTTTCCTTTTTTTTCCTCATCTTCCTAATTTTAATCCCCTATTATCTCAGTTGTTCTATTTGCCTTCCCATCATACGGTTTTATATAAATTGACTTGACAAGTAAATGTGTAATCAGAGTGTTCGAAATGTATTGCAAAAATACATCACATTGTTAATATACACTTCATCTTCTAAATACACTGTCTACATTCCTTAAAGGGACTAGTTGTTTGTAATATTTATAAGTTGAAGTCCACTGCAGTTACTTTTGCTGCACAAAGGTTGAGTAAATATTTGGCCATTATACGGTGATTACAGCTCAAAAGCTAGTGGTATTCCCAAGTCTTGCTTTTGTCGATATGATAGAACGTATTGATTACTAGTGTCTTTATCTATTTCCCTTTCTTTCTTTTGATTTCATGTAGCATGGCAACTTTAAGTTATTCATTTTTGTACTAGGCTGTATGGCATTCCGTTTTTTATACTTTTACTGCAACTATAAGGTTTTATACTATCCTCTTAGGTATTGTATAAGTGTGCTTATAAAATTCAACCATTTTTCTCTTTTTTTACCAGCTTCCAGAATGTCGCATCTGCGAATTCAGACTTCAGTCAACAGAAAAGGTAAGTTTAATATGCTTTCATTTATTTTTGAAATGAATGAGGATTTTCAATTTAGACGTAGTATTCATCACGGACTGACATCAATTGGGGAACCATTGAAAATCTGGAAGCACTGAACAGCTGTTTCATTCTAGTATAGGACTCCCTGCAGTAATAATGATTGTTTAGTAGTTTAAAAATCCCCATTAATTCATAAAACAAAAGACGTTTAGCGAAGAGTCACTCTTTTCAGCGATATCATTCTCAAACTGTACAATCGCATACAAATATTCTATTCACATAGTAACAGAAAAAGAATGTTTTATGAAATATTTTGAACGGAGTTCAGATTTGATTATAAATCAGGAAGTCGGAAAAAAGAATTGCGTAATGTTTGAAATTGTGATGAGGAGAAGACTTATCAAGACCGAACTAATATTTGGTTATCAAGTCAAATGATATAATATGGTGAATGTAAAGAGAAATCAGAATTGTAGGAGTGAAGGAATGTAGTGTGTGAACAAATCTGAATGAAAAGATTTTTGAAGGTAAAAATGTTCTTAATGGTTATATCCATTGCAACTTAAGTGACTGGACAAATTTCTTGGGGATGCAGAGTTCAGGCTTCAAAATGATATCATAAAGAAGTAGTTGGTAGTAGATGTTATTAAGTTTATACCCAGTTGATGATAATGACTTTTAGGTGCGTTTAAGCGTGGTTTGTGAAACCAGTGGTTTACATGTATACTACTACTCAGTTATTTAATTAATTCAGCAATGCTTTGTACCCGTCTTTATAAACCAAGATACATCGTTCCATAAAGTTTGAGATAAAGACTTGGTTTTTGTAGATTACTGCACTTGTGCCGTTCTGTATTTGTGCAATTCTTGCAATGTTCTGTTTGTTGATTCAATATCTGTTGCATATCGTTTATTGGTCATTTTGCCTCTGGCTCCCTCGTTTTGGGTGATTTATACAGTGCTTCTTAGTCACTTTAATACAGTATTTTATCATACGTTAATAATACATATTATTTACGACAAAAATAATGAATACATGGCTTTATAAAACAAATAGAGATGAGTTACTGCCGCTAACCCTGTAGATAGGAGACACAGAGTTCCTAACATATATCTATATGTATATCTGTTTAAATCTATGTGAAACAACAAGAACATTTTATGTCCAGATCAGTTGACTTAGTCTTTAGGAAATTTACTGTCTATAACGTTCAACACCGTAATGCATCTGCTTCAAAGTAAGCTTCACCCATTGAATATATATATATGCCATTTATAACGAAATATCTGTCTTAAACTAAGAACTAGTAATGTCTTTTATACGGTCTATCATTGTTTTACACAATTCATTTTACGAACTGATAATAAATTACATTTCTTGAAGTTGTTTGGTGCATTTTTACATCCTTTCTCACACACATTTTATTTCAGTATATGAATATGACTTTCAGCCAACTGTTTTTCGAACAGTTTACGCCTACATCTTCAGCACCAACTTGATGAAGTTATTGCTGAGCCTAGTGATGAAACGTTCATGTGAAACTATCGAAGCTCAGAGAACATCAAACCACCATCATCCTCATTCTGAGCTATAAATCTTTCCTATCATTAACTAGTTTTTCTTCACGTCGTAAACTTCAAGCTATAATGATTCGATTTCATGGAGAATAATTGTTCTTAACTACTAATGGTCACTCAGTAATTATTTGCATTCAGTTCTTACGTTTAGTGAAAGTAATGAAGTTATAATTTGTGATATTATTTACCTCTCTTATAACTTAATTGGTTTTCTGGCTAGTGCTTTTTTTACTCAGTGTAACTTTGGTTTATTAATCACTTCATGTGTTGTCAACATTATTTTTTTATTATTTGTGCCCTGGGTTCCTAATGGAACATAGGGCTTCAGTAACACGTCTCCAGTGCGCTCTGTTCTGTGCAGTCTTTTGAACCTGGCTCCACGACAGCCCAGCTCTCATTTCTTCCTCACAAGATCTCCGTGTCACCCTCAGCTCAGATGCCCAACTCGTCGCTTCCCATCTGGTTCCACTCGAGTGACTGCCCTGGCACGTGATGTCCACGAATGGTATTCTCAGTGTATGCCTAATCCATCTCCACTTCCTTCTTCCGCATATTTGTTGAGCGACGGGTTCTTGTTGGTTCGTTAGCAGGCCAGAGTTCCTTGTTGCTTATTCTCTCTGGCCATCTGATCTTCAGTAACGAGCGTATGCAGTTGTCGATGATTTATGTCTGTAGTTTATTGGAAATCCCTTTCGTGACGCGCCAAGTCTCTGAACCATACAGAAGGACTGACTTGACGTTGGTGTTGGAAATCCGGATCTTGTTCTTTATGCTGAGTGGAGTGCAGTGCAGTAGATCTCCACACTGGTTTCAGGTAAATGAACGCCTGTCTTGCTTTTCCGATCCTGGCTTTGACGTCCTGGTCTGTGCCTGTGCCGCCTGTAGTTGAGACGATGCTGCCTAGATAGGTGAAAGAGGCTACCTCCTTTAAGTTTCTCCCCTTGTTGGTGATTGGAGCTTGTTTTTGTTGTTGGTGGTGTTGGTTGGGTATCTTCATCACCTCTGTCTTCTCTATATTCACTTGAAGTCCCGTCTTCGCTGTCTTGCCTCTTCTATCAACTTGTTACTTTTCGCCTGTAGATCTTCTTGTGCGACACTAGACACAAGTCGTCGACGAAATCCAAGTCTTCTAGGTTCTTTTCCTTGGTGCAGCGTATTCCCCTCTTCTCGCTCCCCACTGTTTGTTGCATGATCCAGTCGGCCAAAATCAGGAATATCATGGGTGATAGTAGGCAACCTAGTTTTACTCCTGTCTTCACTTCAAAAGCATCACTGAGCTTCCCATTGTGAATACTTGGCTGGCATGTGACATCTTCATGTAGCTGTTGAATGAGATTGATAAAGGTTTATGGTATTCCATAGTATTGAAGCAGTTTCCAAATTACCTCTCAGTCGACGCTGTCAAAGGCCTTCTCAAAGATGATGAAGTTGAGGTAGAGAGTTGACTGCCATTCTATGCTCTGTTTTATGATGATGCATAGTGTAGCGTTGCAATTTGTACTACCTGAATCCAGCCTGTTCGGGTCTTAGTTTTGAATTCAGTGCATTGTTTAGTCTCTTGAGGATGATGCGGCATAATATTTTGCTTGGGGTGGACAGGAGAGTGATTCCTCGCCAGTTCTTGCAAAGACTTAGGTCTCCCTTGTTTCACAAGGTAGCCCTTCTTCCAATCTGCAGGTACCTTCCTTTCCTTCCAGACGTCCTGCAATAGTGGTGTGGGCATGTCCGCTGCCGTCTCTGCTTCTGGCGGGATTCCATCTGGTCCTGCTGCTTTCCCGCATTTCAGCAGCTTCATGGCGCTCAGTACTTCGAACTTTGTTGGAGGATTTGTGTTCACTTGTAGTTCTGTGGCTGCAGGTGGTATTTCTGGACGAGCGCTGGTGGTGGTCGATTCAAGAGCTTTTTGTAGTGGTCGGCCCATCGTTTCCTTTGTTTCTCTTCTTTGGCAATTACATTTGCTTCATCATCGTTTATTAGTTTCATCTGTGTTGATCTCTTCCCAGATAGTAACCCGATTATTTGATATGGTGTTGTCAGGTCTCTCCCACCAACAGCCTGTTCTGCTTCACTTGTCAGTGTGTCGTAGAATTAGGTATCTTGTCTTTGTTCACACTCTTCTTCACTTCTTCGCCCAGTGTTTTATACGTTCTACTCAGTTCCTCTTCTCGCTGTGCATCCTTCCACTGGCTTATCTTCGACTTTACCATCTTCCTCTCCCTCTCCCTCTCCATCCTCTATCAGCTTCCAAGTGCCCGTCGACATACATTCCTTGTTTTGTTCCCTCTTCCTTCCTAGTACGGTTATACAGGTTTCTTTCCACATAGCTTTCAAAGAGTTCCAGTGTTCATCCACACAGGTTTCTTCAGGGATGTTGCTCGATATCTCCTATTTTATCCTGATGACTGACTGACGTGAAGATGTCCTTTGTAGTTTCGTCCTTCAGTTCAGTTTCTCTTCTGGGTGTTGAACTTCAACTGTGGTCTATCACCAACTTCTTCGTCGAAGGCTTTCAAGTTGATTTTGAAGACAGGTTGTTTGCAGTAGATAGTGAGTGGTGTGAACCTACATCTGCTCCCCTTCTTGATCTGATCTTGTGTCCAGTAGGCTGCATCTTCACTTTCTTCAGATTGAGATGAAGTCGATCTGACTTCTAGCGTAGTGTGTCTGGTGTCTGGTGAAATCAAATCCATGTCACTGTCTTGTGAATATCCTTGTGTTTTTATACACACTGCCTGACTCCAATCACCAAATTGTTGAATGTGCAGAAGTCTGCAAACACTTCTCCATTCTCATTCATCATTTCACCGAGTGCTTCTCGACTCATGATTGATTCTCTTCCTGTGTTGTCTGTGCACAGTTTGGCTGGCATTCATGTCGCCATGCCCATTAGAATTTTGATGTCGCCAACTGGTGTGCGGTCTTGTCTAGTAGTGGTTGTCTAGTAGGTGTCTGTAGAATTCCTCCTTCTTCTCTTCATCTGCATTATTTGTATGTGTGTAGCATTGAATGATTGTGACTTTGCTTCCTCTTCAGTTGAATCTTGTTGTCATGATCCTGATCCTGCAGGAGGAGATTGGTTCCCACTGCATGAGGGAGAGCCTTCGATGCTCTTGTGAGTGGACATCATGATAGCCACTCGTAAACTCAGTGTGCTTATGGTTGTCGTCTGGGTGACAATATCGGAGTCGATTGATTATTGACTCTCCAGTTGACAGTTTGGAGAGTCCACTTCCATTCCATCTGCTTTCGCAGATTCTCAGCACTTCTATGCCATATCTTCTCGTTTGTTTTGCAATCTGGACACCCTTGCTAACTTCGAACATTGTGGGGATATTCCATGTCCCCATGTTTACTTTTGCCTTCATTGAGAGAAGATACATCGACCAATTGGCTTGCTGAAGGCTTTCACCAACCGGCGTCAATTTGTCTCCCCAATTGCAGCGAGGAATAAGTTTACTTTTATTTTTGATATTTTGTTTGTGCTTTGGAGTTTCTTGAGGGGTTGAATTGGTTTTCTGGGATAGGGTTGGTAGTCCTACTCCCAACCTTCCTTCTTTTCCCGGGCTTAGGACCGGCTAGTAACCAGCCAACTGGTTAACCAGTCGAGGTTGTTGTCAATCCTAGGTTGTTAGTAATCATTTGTGAATTCGCTCATGTTATTCCGACAAAGTAAAAATGTGAATTTCTGAAGTTTCATAACCTTATAGAAGCACTGTTTTAGAGAATGAAAGCCTGTTTGAAACAACTTTCTTCTGATTTGTTTTATTTGGCAACGAAACTCGATAACTACTGGTATAGGCTTTCATCATTCCTTTCCTTAAGGTTATGAAACATGTCAAATTAATTAACAATTTTATTACTTGACTGGCATTGTAAAAATATATTTATTTTAAGTACCTAATGCTCCATTCATTTAATTCTATCGGATCATCCCTTGATGCTGATAGGTACAAAATGGTGTTTACCAAATTTACTGAAGCATCATGTTTAAATTGGTATTCATCTTCTCCAACTAAATGCAGAAATTTAAGCAAATATGCCTGAAGGCAATCAGATTGAATACAACCGCTAGGAATATTCATTTTCATGATTGACGATAAAAACGACAATGTAATACTGCTGGATTCTTTTCATTTGTCGATTCATAGCTGTTGTTGCATGATTTGTTAACAGTTGTTAAACATATCGTTTTTTGGATTCCAACTTTCGCCTTCTGGACTAAGGATACACTTACTTTAGGTTTTACAATATAACCCCTCATTACTCCAATATTCTAGTCGTTTTTTTTCTTAATGCTAAGATGACATGCATACATACTTCCGGGTTTCGAATCTACAGTCACGTTGTTTAATACTACTGTCTGTTGGGAGATGTGAAAGTATTTTATCTTCTTAAAACAGTTTTCAGTGTAAACTTATGCTTTCAATTATCAGATGACCGTAAGAAGTTTGCGTGAATAAACTTAATCTATAGGGTTCATACCTTATGATCAGTTTATATTTTTCAGTCAGCTTTTAGGGTGTAAACTCGTGTTAATTAAAGCACATCAAAGGACAAAAGTGAAGATATTTGAACTAAATGATTCATCTTCATTTTTTTTTAACCTCGAGCAACATGACGTGATTCAGTAATCTTCAATGTGAACACTTACTAGTCTTTAAGCTTCCCACTTTAACACTTTAGACGGCTTACCTTCACAATAGAACAAGAGGTTTAAACACGGAACCCATTCACTTCATGATTACAGCAAACTTATTTAATATCTATATGTACAATCATTTTATATGAAATCTCAGCTTCTTCTTTTTTTAGTTTTCCTTACTGAATTAATATCTTTCATTATCGATATTTATGCAACTGTTGAATTTACGGAGGTAGTTATTTTGAGTCCATTTTTTGTATGGAATCAATTCCATTCAATCGAACAGTGGAAATAAAAGTATCCTTGCGCTTTTTAACTTTTCAGCAATACACTATACCTTCGATTTATTTCACTGTCAAACCGAGGATATGCCAGTTTCTTTCAAGTTGTTTATAATGAGTGATTAAGTTGACATTCTTGTTAAGCACTTTATATTCACAGTAAACTCATCATAGGATACTATCATCTGTATTTTTATCTTGCACTGTATATGTTTACGTTCTCAAATTTGAATGATTCGTCACGTTAGAGGGGATTGTATTCGTTTTGCAATAGCTACATTGACTAGTTTTTTCTGAGCTTGACTTTAACCCATTGTTTTACCATCAAACTGCCAAGTTGCGTTCTACTTTGAAAGTGGTGTGTAGTGGTCAGTACTATGTTTCAACGACTGTATGGTACTTTCTGTTTTCCCCCCAGTTGATGTAAATAGTTGTTGAGACTTTTAGATGGTCATGGTTTGACAGACTGACATCGATATGGGATGATGATTGTAAATGAAACGAAGACCTTGGTCGCAGCAGGATTCAAACTGGCAACCTCCAGATCACTGGTATGACTGAAACTAAGTTTTCATTTCACCCGTGTTATACTGTAGGAAACGACAAGACGGAGTCGAGGTAGGGAATGTTTATTATTAACATATTGTATTGTAGTGATGAAATATTGTACACTTCCCACTGAAACAGTCATTTGCACAATGTGCTTCATTTCCTTTTCTGCTTCTATCTTGCTTTGCTCTTAATATGCCCACATTGTCTGTTGCGTTTGTCTGGGCATAATATTTACCCATTGCTGGTAATTGTCTATGATTTCTGCCACCCTCTCAACATATACTATTTATATCCATTGTGATCAGCAACGCCCACTACAATACTACTGGATAATATCAGTTGTTAGAGACCACTTCAGTAGATTTAAACTCCGGATGGTTATTGTACTTGTTTGAAGCCAACCTCGTCAGCTATGTACTTGGACAAACTCAATTCATCTAATCAAATTGCTCAGATCTGCTGAATCTGGCTAGTTGTCTTAGATGAACCTGTAAACCTTAAATAAGGTTTACAGTGATACTTCTCACAGCCGAGTAGTCTTTTGAATGCTCAGTTGTGTACTTCTGTAGGAAACCACCCAACTTAGGCCACGAATCGTTATCTCTGACACAAAGGTGTTTTGAACTCGAAAATTATACTACTACACAACATGATTATTAAAAAACCCACTCATTTCGATCTGTACATTTCGTATCTATAGTATCAGACGATGAAGACTATTTCCACATCATTCATTCTCTTAAATATTGAGGTGTTCTGTTTATTTTCTTCTGCATCATTACAAGGCCAACGGGCTTTCGAAAATTCATTTTTATGCTCTACCACTTATAAATATTGTTAAAACGTCTACGTGTTTTTTCTTCCTTCCATAATTTTTTTTAGCTCTCAAAGCTTTTTGAGCAGTTTACTCGGTGTTAAGTCAGTGGTGCAACGATGGGAAGTGAGTTCTTTGTTTTTCTTTATGCATATTGCTGTGCCTTTAAACAGGTGTGATTTTCATCAACGTAAATCACAACATGACAAATCACGGTTTATCAGTTTACTAGTTCGGTAACGATTTATGTAATAATCAGTAAACAGACACATATATCTCATTCATATTATGATGGAGCGAATCTGTCGGTAAAAAGCTAATAAAATGGTGAACTGGTCAACAGTGGAACGTCAGAGCTTATGTGAAAACTCACTCATGTGGTAATTTCGAAGTTACTAATTCAAATTTTGGCATGACCTTAGTTTCTTTTTGATGTTATTAACTTTTCTTTTTTCATAACTAAAAATCAACTGTGATATATCTCATGTTTGGCATGTGCAAACTGAATAGTCGAGTGGGATTTGTTTGCTGTTGAATTATTTGCGTAGAGTGTTTTCGATCTCTACGTGTATAGACGTATAAAAAGTAAAAACTTGTTGACCACATACGATTCAGAACTTGCCGTAAGGAGGCGCCTACATCACCTACCGTTATGGTCATTATATCTAAAATCCATAGATTTAAAGTTTATCACCGAGGTCAATGAGTCAATATAAATAATAAATAAGTATAAATAAAATATTACTCTTGAGCTTGAATAACCTAGAATCTAAATAATTTGTAGTATGGTTGAGGGGAATATATTTTTACTTTTGAGCATAGTTCTCATCTTTTCAATACCATGTTATAATAACCATATGTAATAACTCTATGGTTTCAACATGGATGTCTTAACGAAGAATCAATCTGGGAAAGAGTTATGAGCCTGCTAAGAGATTTTTGAAATGCACTCCACAACCTCATGCAGTAGGCAATGAGCCAAACCCATTATATGAGGGTTAATGATACTACCTAGCTGCCCAAACTTCGGTCGGTGGAGAGAGGTGTTCGAACCCGTGACCTATCGGTTTAAAGTCATCTCCCTAAGTCAATGAGCCACAGCTCCAAAATATAGTTGTGTATAATTAGTATCACCTTCTTGACTTTCAAATTGTTCATAGTGCAAGTGATTTTTTTACTTCATGTTGTTTATTACTAAACAACCTTCTATAGCATGGAGAACTGAGTAATTTCGAATATCTAATGTACTTAAATACACAAGCCGGTCGTTCATACAATGATCTCATCCAGTATCCAGTTTTCCCATGGGTACTTGCTGATTATGAATCTGAAGAATTGGATTTATCAAGACCAGAAACATTTCGTGATTTATCCAAACCAATGGGAGCTCAGACACCTGATCGTTTAGCTCAGTTTCAGCGTCGTTATAAGGAATGGGATGATCCTACTGGAGAAACACCACCTTATCATTATGGCACACATTATTCATCAGCGATGATTGTGGCATCCTATCTTTTCCGAATGGAGCCGTTTGCACAACATTTTCTCAAGCTCCAGGTACGTTTTATTTCCATTGAAAAGCCATTTGTCAAAATTCAGTGTTTTTATCATTAAAAACATCGGAAATATGTAACTTCTATCTAATGTCGGTTACTACTACTTATAAAAGAGTCTATTTTAACCTCATACAGTGCCATGCATTTTCTGAGACCCAGGTATACTATTTTCACTCCTACTGTACGAGGATAACACTAGTTAGATATTTAGACTGAAACTGACTGCTTGAGATTGGTTGTGTTTGTTGAAGAGAAGATTGCTGAGAAATAGTCGTCATTATGGTGTAGATTCCGATGTATATATATATATATATATATATATATATATATATATATATATATATATATATATATATATATATATACAGAGAGAGAGACTTTACATTATTGAGTTGCGGCTATCTAATTTAGAGAGATGACTATCAACCAGTGAGTTCGAACCCTGCCCCACGTAGTAACACTAGCCCTCACGTAGTAGGTGTGGCTTATTGTCTGCTGTACGAATATCCTCAAGATGGCTGAGTGCATTTCGTTTTGTTCGTTTGTAGTGTTTGTAGTACTTTTACACCTTCAGCACTTCCCAACCGATAACTGCTATTTTGATATGGTTTTCAGGCTAGCATATCCATGACCGAATAAGATATGCTGATGACGATTGTTCTTTCGAGGTCCTGCCACAATGGAAAGGTCAGATGCATAGTGGTAAGACACAAATCAGTTGCCATTTTAGTGTAAATTGTTACATTGTATTGGGGCTTCGAAGGCTAAGTCTTACTGCTGACTGGCTGGAGTATGACAACAGTAAAGCGTTTCCTGTATATGACGAACATCACTATGCTGATTCTGCCTTCCCAATTGGAAGAGGGTTTAGGTAAGGTCGACTCCATTGTCTTCTACCCCAGGAGAAACCGGTGCCTCGGCCAAATATGTCCATAGTTGGATTCGAAAAAACAAAGGTCTCAAACTTATGAAAAAGCTGTAGGTAACCGGTCTCAAGCCGATGCCCTTGAGTTATGCGGTCAAGCACCACTATTGCTAACCGAACTTGTACAGACACCTCAACAGAACCAACCTCCCACGGTGTGGGCAGTTGGGAAGTGTCAACCGCCTTCACACCCTATTTAGTGCTTAAGTTCCCTCAGATCATTATCAACCTTCCAAATTCTCACCTTCTAATCTTTCTTCGCGTCTCTCCATCAACATTTCTACATCATCTTTTAGTTGTCCCAGCCTTAAACCTCTTCATTTCGATTCGAGCTCGCAGAATAGCATTCTTGGTCTCCTAAAGTGACACATCGAAAATTTCAATGTTCTTACAGCTCACCAGATCAGACAACAAGCTTTGCTAGCCAAATGTCTGTCATCTTAGGCCACAGAAATTAGCTGTGCTTGTAAGTCACGCATACAGAACTATTCACTTAACCACACTCGGCTTATATGGTGGATCCACAAAATTTGATCCCTAGCTCCTACAGTCTTGCATGTGTAGGTATAGTATTAGGTGCTAAGGCAGAAAGTGCACTGCTGGACTGCATTCCAGTTGACAATTGCCGATGCGCTGTCCGACTGAATGATACAATGAAGACTAAAAGGAGTATGGAAACTCCTCGTCTCTTTTTTCAATCTCTACTCGCGTACCCACTGACTGCAGCTCGGATGAAGTGAAGGATGAGTTCTACCGAAGACTGTATGGTATCCTACTGAAAGCCAAACGTTCAGTCGTTGTTGTTGTGGAAGGTGATTTCAATGCACAAGTAGGTAAGTTAAGTCAGACAGAAGGACACTTAGATGGCACTTTTGGAATCCTTGCCGAACGAACAGAAAACGGATGTCGCCTGCTATAACTACTCAGACAACCATTTATTTCTGGTTAACACTAACTTGTGAACTGAAGTGAGGTACTGACGTGTAGTTCACCGACCTTAACTAGACACTGGATGCAAATATACCATATTACTATGAGTTATCTCTGGACTGGGCCCGTGTTTTGACAGTGATCACACTATGGTGCCACCACATTATATTGGATGGAAAATGAGTTATTCGTCTATTCATCACGGACTGACAGTTATTCTTTGTTTGCTTAATGGTGCATTTAATTGAATAACTTTGATGAACTGCATTTATATACATATGTTTATATGCATGATTCTGAAACGCTATTCGTGGATAGGAGTTTCTTTTAGAATCTAACAATAACTTTTTACCACAATTTAAATTTCCACCCCTTTATCTTTACGTTTAGGGTGGTCATTTTGATTTGCCTGATAGGATGTTTCATAGTGTGAGAGATGCTTGGCTTAGCGCAAGCAGACATAATATGGCAGATGTACGAGAATTGATTCCAGAGTTTTTCTATTTACCAGACTTTCTTATTAATTCAAACCACTTCGAAATGGGTATTAAACAGAATGGTGTTGAAGTAAACAATGTGGTTCTGCCACCGTGGGCTAAATCTGATCCCCGTGAATTTATAAGAGTTCATCGTGAAGTAAGTTTATACATGCCTTTGTCTTCTTGTCTTATATGCTTTTCTTTCTATACCGTAATATTTATCGATGCACAAGGTGGTTAGAAACTAGATAATAGAATCTTACATATTCGATATGAATATATATTAACCCGTTGAATGGATAAACAGGGGCAACTTAAAAACTGATAGAGTTTTGTGTCAGTCAGACGAAAACGGGACTTCTCACCGCCACAACAAGAGGAAACTAATAAGTAAAGGAATAGGAAAACGGTACTAATAGTCGCTCAAAACGGAAGGATAGCTTAGAGCAAATAGTGTAACATAGAAAATTTCAAGCAAGCAAAGATGTAAATTCATTTCCACTTCTGCAATAGATTTTTTCGTAGAATTATCTAATCATCAGTTGTGGCTAAATCATAAATCTAAATTCTCATTAAAAATTGTCCATCATTTTCTTACCAAACTTGTTCTGAATAGATATTTTATCACAAAATTGAAGAATCGGTCATTAGGCTATTTGATACAACGAATACTGAGTTGTTTATTGTAGCTTTTATATTTCTCTGTATCAGTTGTCTTGTAATCTTTGTGTTTATTGTTCAAGGAGGCGTTAATATGTAAATTCTGTAGTGAATAACTCTTTACTGTTTGAAGAAATGAGTATTGAACTCAGTTTCTATTGAAAAGCATCAATATATATTAACGTGTAGATACATTTAATTTACATTAAGTACAGGCTTCAAAAAGAAACAAATCGAGAATATCAGTTCTAACCTTAAATAGAATGTTTTGTTTTTTGGCTCACTTCTTTTTCCTGACATTCTCAGTTTCCTTCTTCAAGTTGATCTACTAATCATAAGGTTTGAAAATGTTTCCTTCCTATAGTTCATTGTCTGTTTATTTGTTTATCCACTGGTTCATCCTGTTTATTTCATTTATTATCGTTTATTATTGTTGTTTTAAAAAAATGTATTTCCCTTACATTTCATGTGGGTTTTTATTTATCGGTGGTAATATGCGATACCACTTTCCATATTCTGCTGAAACAAAAAAAGTTAATAGCTCTATTTCTTGTGATTGAAATGTTTTTGAATTTAAAATTTTCTATTTTGTTCGTTCTTCGTATACAACTTGTTAAGCTTTAAATAAATAATTATTAGAGTATATTCGATTAACTCAATTGACTGTAATTCAACTAATATTAAAATATTGGCTTCAAAACTACTAAACAGGGTGTCCATTGACTGACTGACTTGAGAGATCAAACTGCTGACAGGGTCTCATTTCTCCTTTAAACTAAATTCATTCGCACTATGGCCACTAGTTGTAGTTGACGTCGAAAGTGGCTGGCAATCGATTCTCTTCGCTTATTAAATAGGGCAGCGGTGCGGAAACCTGAAAACTCAGGGTTGAAGTCCTATCTTGACTTGAGATTCGCTTCAAATTCAATTATTGTATAGGTCAGTCAGTCATTGATTGAGTGTTTTAGATAATCTAGTCAGTTGATTGTGGCTGGTATTCACAGTAAAAGAAAATTAGGAATGGTATCTACCTTCAAAGGTAACTTTTCGGGCCACATTTTATAGACCAAACGAATTTTTAAAAATCAGTCTGTTGGCAAACTTCCTAATCTATCATCGAACACCCAAAAATGTTTATGTTTGTGAAACCCAACCGAAGACATTTAAACCCAAGGGAGAGAGAGAGCATCATAAGCAGCAAAGCTTTAGTATGGTATACTACTTAGTAAGATGATCATTAGAAATGTGGATGCACAGAAAAGGGCACATAAGTATCGAGTTTACTACTAGTCTTTCAGAACTATGCAGTGAGAATGTGGTCTGTCATTAATAAATTGACTTGGACGACATTTGGGGATATTTCATGCAACATAGGTTTGAATTTGTGCATCTGGCAATTCAAACTAACTTTTGAAAGGTGACTTTCATATCACAAAGTAATTGACTGCTCATCGTATTGGAGCCAGAGTTTCTTAATCTGTCACATGATCAGAAAGTATTGTTTCACGTCACAAAGTTAGCTTCAAAATTAATCAACACCTGATACTTGCCTAGAATTTATCATGGATCGACATTAAAGAAATGATTAATTTGAAAGCTCAAATGTCAAACTGTAACAGAGAGTCACCGAATAATTTGAAAACTAGTTGTATTCTTGAATACTATGTTGGTAGAACAACAGTGTGTTCACTGCAAGGTGTACTGTAGTCTAGAGATGCTTTGGAGTTTACAATGTCAAAAAACCATAAGCAAAGAGAAAGCAGCTAGCAAGTGCTTATTAGTTCTCAGTAGCCTTTAAATCAATTCCACTAGTAGGCCGCTGGTTCCAGTCTTACTAGTGACTCAGGTTTCCGTCCTAATTTCAATAATCTTTCTATTCCGTAATTCCTTCCGCTGTTTACCGAAAACCATTCTTTAAATGAATGACATGTGTTTTCAAACATTGTTCCAGGCCTTGGAAAGTGAATATGTATCCGCCCATTTACATGAATGGATTGACTTGATTTTCGGTTATAAACAACAAGGTGAACATGCGATTCAAGCAGCCAATGTTTTTCATTACTTATTCTACGAGGGTAATGTGGATATCTATTCAATAGACGATCCATTGAAACGTTCAGCTGTAATTGGATTTATCAATAATTTTGGTCAAATACCTAAACAGTTATTTAAAAAACCGCATCCATGTAAACGTGTGATTATTCCACGTCCGTCTACACGTTTCTTTAGTTCAGCAATTGGATTCAATTTGGTAGTCAAGTGGCATGTGATTTATTCTATCGAAATCTTGACATTCTGAGACCTAGCCTTCAACCAATTAAAGGTTAGTTGTTTTGTACACATTATTCTAAGGTCAGTTGTATTGGTTGAGTACAGATTAAAGCGTAAATGATACCAATTTTTGATTTCAATGGTCAAGCTGTCTTTTTTAGAGATTTAAGTGAACCTTTTTTATCTCTGATCTTTGGTTCTTCATATCGACCACTAATATGAATTTCTGCTTTTTAAAATGTTTTCTAACTTTTACCATACTTATTTCGTATCAGTTTTTTTCCGTAGATTTTTTCCAGCTTGAATATAACTGCTGGAATTGTGTTTCTATTTTTTGGTACTTACAGAGCTGTCGTTGTATAAGTTTAACATTTAAAGATGGAGTGTACAGTGTATCTTTGTATGCAGTCTTATTACAGGTTTGATACAGTACACCTTTGTGTTCGACTCCCGTTATATCTATACGTGATAAGTTGGATTCTGTAAAAACAAAGTTTAGGTAGTAGCAAAACCGACACTATATGTTGTGACTACTATTATTACTGTTGTTATTATTATTATTATTATCATTATTGAGCACAAACATGGTACAGCAAGGGCACCAAAAAATGCGCCACCAAAAATATCACAACATTATGAAGACATAAAAGGAAGTGGATGAAAAAAAAATTCGGTAAGAATAGAATGATTTGAAAGGCACTCCGATAAGATCCATTCAAAATAAAACTCATTCGTTTTCAGTAGCAGAAGATATAAGTAAGCTGCAGCATGACCCCCACTGGTTTCGATTCCGAGCCATATCTGATAACCAAACCAGCGACCTGTGTGATCTCTTGGACCCCACTGAGAGAGTCGTGATGCGCCAACAGATGGAACTCGATGCTTTATCGAAACTAGAACTATCATTACGAATACTTGAAATCAATCGCTTCTTAACAGGCATTTCAATTGATTACTATAATTGATGACTACTCATCCTAACATCGACTGAATCGTCAAGCAGTAAGATGAAATCTATATATACCTGATAAAGCTTAAATGTTGAACTGAATTTCAAAAGAAAATTCTTGTATTTTTTTGTGTACTTGTTGTACTCAGGCTGAATAGACCAAATGAATGCTAAATATGTGTTTGATGTTGTTTTCATTTGTTTCATTCGTTATTATCCATCGAAAAGCTATTAGGTTTTCAATTAGATGACAATCGATATGTTGTTACTTTTTATCTTTTTGTACTTACGCAGAATTGAAACATGCAGTTGGTCAAATTGTTCAACTAGATCCACAATTTATACCAAGTGGTGCAAATATGAATAATATGAATACTGGTGCCACAGTAAATCGACCTATACTCAGCTTAAATATTAATTCAGATAACATGAATAATGAGAGTACAAATTTCGCTAGTAATAACAACTCTGCTTTGGTATCCGGAGGTGTTGGTTACCAAACATCGACTACAACTATAATCGGTGGACCAATTGTTGCAGTTGAGCAAAATAAATGTCTTCTACCACCACACTATACATATTATCTTGCATGGGGTTTTACTGATGGTAGTCTGCGTTTAGGCTCACTGTTCGATTCTAATGAACGTGTTCGATATGTATGCGAAATGGTTGATCAGAATGAGATCTTATGTTGTGCAGCACCTAATAAATATACTATTATTACAGCTGGTCTAAGCACTGTAATACGTGTTTGGGTTGTAAGTTTATCTTTGATGAGATTTTTCTTTCGCTTTATTGTTGGTTTTTATCAATTTGTTGTATTCTACGATACTGATCATAAATTTTGTCGTGGTTTCTATCAAAGTCGCCTATATATAATGTTTATATATATCAACAGTTTACTCAGTTCACTCAATAAAAGTATGCAGAACTCGTGAAAGGTGTAAGTCACCGTAGACGACTAAGGCCACCCAGGTAATTGGGACTGGTACCGGGATATATTTAGAGCCGATGGTCAGGGATTACTGGTCTGCTTGAATGAAATGTGTTTATGGAAGTCAGATACGTCCCCCTCTTACGACTGGTCTCAGTCACTGTTTGTATCAATCTTCAAGAAAGAGGAGATATCCTCTTTCGATAACCACTGAGGAATCAGCTTGATGAACATCGTGTCTAAGATTCTAGGTTCTGTTATTATCAGACATCGGAGTGAAGCTCGGGAACAACATGACCGAGAAAACCAGTCAGATTTCAAACCTTACATGTGGGTGTATCGATCAGATATTCACCCTACAATAGTTTCTTGAACACAGGCACACTTACTGACTCTAGCCGTATTTTTCAACTTGAAGGTGGCATTAGACTGCATCGATCAAGAATTCTCATGCCAGTGTATTTCTCACTGAAAGGGTTGCCGAGTTACGACATCACTGTGTCAAAGTTTCTTTACTCGAACACTTGTGGGCGTGTTAGAACCTATGCTTGGTTATTAGGTTTCGTCACAGGAAAATCCTTAGTAGACATTCATAATCGTTTTCTAAAATTTTAGCTTTGGGTACTTACGTGGTGTCAAAACCTATTCATTATACAAAAGATACTTAGGTGAACTTCTTGGTCATAGCATAATTTTAAGACACATTTTTCTTGATTAAAATCAACTCGTTATAATAATTTCAGTCAAAGTCAACTGGTTAATTGCTGAGTTAACATCAATTTTTTCGTGGAAATATTAGTTTGTTTCGAACCTTAATATACTATACTTAATAATTCGATTGCGATTCTTATACGCTTAATTGTGTTTTCTTGTTTGCTTTTCTCAAACATCAATAGCTTAATTCTCATGAAATAAGTAACAATATGACCAACTCAAGTAGCGCTTCTGGTGCTGGAATACTGACTGGATCTGGTTCATCTCAGTGACCTACGGATGTCAGTCATCGGGTGGTTCACGTCTTAAACTTCGTGCAACACTTTATGGACACACTGATGCTATCACCTGTGTAGCTGCATCCGATGCATTTAATCTTATTGTCAGTGGTAGTCGCGATAGAAGTTGTATATTATGGGATTTAAGTCGTTTATGCTTTTTACGACAACTACCTGGTCATATTGCTCCGATCGCAGCTCTTTGTGTTAATGAAGCTACAGGGGATATCGCAAGTTGTGCGGGAACACGATTGTATTTATGGAATTGTAATGGTGAACCAATCGCTTCAGTTGATACTCCAGTCGGACGTAACAAACAGATTCTTTGTGTCTGTATGAGTACTGTAAGTTCGCGATTTCTGGTTCTTCACTTATCTGCCTTTTCTGCGTCTGCCTAGTGAATTCGCCGTAATTCTGTTTGACACAACTTTATTTTTAACCTCAGCAATAATTTGGCATAAATTCAGGACATGATACACTTGTTCACCCTTACCTAAACACCATATCCTTGTTACAAAATACTCTACAAGTTGTTGAGTTTAATATACAAACAAGGTGTTTAGACTTACCGTAGGTGAGTACTACTGTTTATAAACATCTTAAGAAATGATCTGGCTTGAGTTCCTTCGGTTGATGAAAAGAGTTCTTTCCTGAATGCATTGACTGAAAAATTGAAAATGTTTGGCTTAAGGCTTCCACTTACAAAATGCAAATATGATGCTTCAATTCTGCATTGAATTTGTAGTTAGATGCCTTTAAATACGCCGGTTCCTTCAAATACTTCAGATGTTTCGGTCCATTTGCACGTAAACATAGTAGCGTAAACCTTTCATTATATTTATAAACCCAACGAGATATCAGAATGATTTTTAAGCGACAGATCTACTGTACTCACTCTGCTTTTTTTAATTATCTTGCTGTCAAAATTCAACAAAGTAAGCTTCCTACTTTTTTTTCTGAACCCGCATTTTGTGCTATTTAAGCGTTTGAGAAATAACATCGATGCATTATCGTTTCTATTCCTATCAGTCGCTTATTTTGATTTTCAACACTTTATTGAATCCTCCTGTATGTACTGTAGCGTACTCTACTGAGATATATAATTGAAGCAGTTACATAAAATTTCTAAACACAATTAGAGATCTCATATTGACAATTTCTTTGGCGTAGGATACTATCATCTGTATTTTTATCTTGCACTGTATATGTTTACGTTCTCAGATCCGGATGATTCGTCACGTTAGATGGGATTGTATTCGTTTTCCAATAGCTACATTGACTAGTTTTTTCTGAGCTTGACTTAACCCATTGTTTTACCATCAAACTGCCAAGTTGTGTTCTACTTTGAAAGTGGTGTGTAGTGGTCAGTACTATGTTTCAACGACTGTATGGTACTTTCTGTTTTCCCCCCAGTTGATGTAAATAGTTGTTGAGACTTTTAGATGGTCATGGTTTGACAGACTGACATCGATATGGGATGATGATTGTAAATGAAACGAAGACCTTGGTCGCAGCAGGATTCAAACTGGCAACCTCCAGATCACTGGTATGACTGAAACTAAGTTTTCATTTCACCCCGTGTTATACTGTAGGAAACGACAAGACGGAGTCGAGGTAGGGAATGTTTATTATTAACATATTGTATTGTAGTGATGAAAATATTGTACACTTCCCACTGAAACAGTCATTTGCACAATGTGCTTCATTTCCTTTTCTGCTTCTATCTTGCTTTGCTCTTAATATGCCCACATTGTCTGTTGCGTTTGTCTGGGCATAATATTTACCCATTGCTGGTAATTGTCTATGATTTCTGCCACCCTCTCAACATATACTATTTATATCCATTGTGATCAGCAACGCCCACTACACTAGAAAGTCTTGGTTTTATGTACTTCAGAATTAAAATTTGACTAGACAGAATTCAGTATATATAGCATTGGGTAAATGGTTTATGAAGGAAATATGTTTCTAAGATCCTTATGGAGGTAGAAAAATAATTTTCTGGTATTTTGTAACTTCTTGGAAGCCACTTCTTCGGAGTATAAAACCTCTACAAGCTATCATATATCTAAACAGAGAAGGTCTTGAGTTCGACACTCAGAATGATTCTACTATAAAGCATCATTGTTGGATAGTTGGTACTCAACAGCTTGTAAACTCATGTTATTTTATTACGTGCACACCTTCAAAACCACAATATTTAAGCATCACATGACAAATCCACATTTTTAAAAGCTCATGTCACTGCACATATTCACAAAGCATGGCTGAAATCATTCAGTGAGGATAACCATCTTAACTCTATTTGATATCTTTTCCAATTCGGAGATAAAACTACTTCTCAAAACAGAAGAATATCTGCTTCCTACTATAAGAATCGGTTGGTTACGTTAATGAAAATTTCCTTTAAGTTAACAATGAATAGGCACAGCATAAAGAAATCAAGCATATCAAAAAAAAAACAGGATCTACAACTCTCCTTCAGATTTGGTTTGGAAAAGTTCTAAGAGCTTATTAGGAATTGTAAAGTAGTAAGTAGTATGAATAGTAAAGGGTCCAAAGCTCTTATGGCTCTAATCTTTAAAAAGAAACAGTATCAGAAGTTCTGCTTAAAAGTATCTTAACAAAACCAAGATCAGCGCAAAATTCCATGCTAATCTGTTCGTTGGGTGTTTCATACAATGAAACAATCTTATTTACACAACATAATTTTTGATCAGGATTTATTGTTCATACTCATACAAAAGATGTGATCAGAATGTAAACAATGAATTCTTTTTGGAAAATCATCCAGAAAATAACACCGTTCCAATGTTTAAAATATGCAACTGTGCCTAATTCCCTCTTTCATATCAAGATTAGGATAACATTCAAACCTAGAAATTTAGAGAAAGAGTAAATTAAATGAAGAAATTTTTTAACTCAAGTGGACTAGGTAATTTTATTTACAGTGCATAAAGGTCGATTATCTAGGTTAAACTAGTCAGCTTGGATCAATCTAGTGATTAGACCACAAGAATGTAGATGGATTTGGAATGGCATACCCTACTAACATGAACACTCTAGAGCAAAGATAAATCAGTCGTCTTTAAGGTAGATAGAAGGGTTCGTTATTAGATCTATATTGGTTGATTTGACAGCTAATACATAACATTGATTGTGGATATCCGTCGAGTTATATACTTCTATTAAAATGGAAGATTGATGAGCATGTCGGTCTAATTTTAAAGTTATGTTTATGTAGGTATATGACAATGAAAACTAAAATATGTCCTAACACTTATGAATAATACTGCATCACTGTGCATTAGATGATCTAATAATCAAAATACCACGGGATTATAGTCAATTACAATATCATCGCCATCGAAAAACACAGGCTATAAGGGTTGTACATGAAATGATTGACTTATTCGGCTTTTATCATATAATGATAATCCCTTTAATCGAAATTTAGTACCATTAATGAGTACAGAAATCTTATTTCAAGCAGGAATTGCACTTAAGAAGTAGTGGAAACCCTTCGTCCATGTCCCCATCCTTACTTTCGCTTTCATCGAGCGAAGACACATCGGCCCACTGGCTTCCCGAAGGCTTTCACCAACCGGCGTCATTTCGTCTCTCCGATTCCAGAGAGGAATAAGTTTGTTTTCATTTCTTGTATTTTCTTTGTACTGAGAAGTTTCTTTAGTGGTTGGATTGGTTTTACAGGGTAGGGTTGCTAGCCCTATGCCCAACCTTTCCTCTTTACCCGGGCTTAGGACCGGCTAGTAACTAGTGAACTAGTTAACCAGGTGAGGTTTTTCGTCAGATAATTCTAACAATATAGAACTCCATACAGTTGTGCACCGGTTCAAAATAATACAGAGAACGAAAACAACAGTAATCGAAAGATACTCTAACAAAGAAATAAAAAGATGTGTAAGTAGAGGAAAATTATGTGTTAGTTGAAATTTTCACGAAGATGAAGTGTGCATAATTATGATCGATTTTGAGCTCTGTCATCTACGGTCTGAGCGTTTCATATACTTCCGCATATGGTTCACTAAAAGGGCAGCTAACAACACCAAATGACGAGTTTCATTGGCGCTATTTGAGATTATATTTTCATTGTTGACTTTTGTTCTTTGAATTTCATGCATACATACTTCTCTCCTTCCACCAATCTAATAGTTGTATGATTGGGATGCAGAAAATGTTATTTTAACGGGTAGTTCAGATGGTGTAGTACGAATGTGGTGTCTTAAATATACCCAAGCGAAGACAATGACAATATTTGTGATATTAACATTGATAATAATGAGAATAACTTAAAGGAACGTAAAACATACAATATTGTTTGTCATGACATTTATGGTCAAAAAACAACTGCTTTTAATCCACATGAAAGTTCATCAGAAGAAACTCAAACCAAAAAGATTTCGGTATGTCCATTCTCCTATTTATAATACTGTAATAGTTTAAATGAGTATTTTCCAACTATTCATGTTGTTCACTAGTGTATATCGAGTAACTTTAGTTAAACTCATTTTTGTCATTAATATTCTTAACTTAGGTTAACGAATCAACAAATGACAGTTATTTGACCAGTGTTTTCGTAAATTTAGTAGACTGATGGGGAGAAAATTCATTTCGAAATGATAGAAACAGTCGCTCAGTATGTGTTATATGCCCTTTTAACCAAATAAATGTCTGTTCACTTACCTAACTGAGCATTTACTAAGAGGAGGATATGATTAACTGAATTGATCACCATTCTTGTCAGTAAACTTACCGTGTAGCTGAATTTTAGTGGAAATGAAGCTTCCTAGGGCGAATGGTTACGCTCACAGAAGTTGGGAATATGGGCCATTGGGATCCGCTCAGCAACTCAATGATAACGTGCTGGCCACGGAACCTGAAGGTCCTGGGTCGATCCCCGGCGAGGTCATGAGTGCGCACTGCTGAGTCCCATACTAGAGCGAAACAGCTGTCCAGTGCTCCCAGGTTTCCAATGTTCATTCAACTGATGTCAGTCATGATGAATATCAACTTAAAAAGTCACTAATTCCCTTAAGCACGAATGGTTAAAGTCTTTTTGTCCCTCGCTCATTTGACATACATTTTGAAGAGTGTATAAGCTATTTTATTTAAGCAAACGACTGTCTCTGTGTTTTGTGAAAACCTACACGGTAGTTTTCTGAGTACATTGTGCTTTCAAGCAGGATTGTAAGCACTTATTGGTCATCCAGAGGATTACATCGATGAAGTTTGCAATATGATCGCTGAGCTAGATAATATGACATCACATTCCACTGTATTTTCATGTTAGATGTTACCACTCAGCAGGCACTACATCTAGACTTATGCTTTGTGCATATGAGAACTCATCAGTAGGATATATGTAAAACTAGTTTTTTCATAGTTGACTCTTACAATCCAATTCTTAAGTATCATAAATCCTCGAATACTTATTTTGATACAGCTGAGCACATGAACCTGAATGTAGTTACTGAATTGAATCGGTCTACCTTCTTTGATTTCTTTCATGATGTCAGTGTTTCAGGTAGTGGAGTTCTGGTTCATTGGTTTAGGGAGTTGACTTTCAACCAGTGGGTGGCAGGTTCGAACAGCTCTCCATCTACCGAGGTTTAGGCAGCCAGATTTTTGTATCACACAATAGGTGTGGTTCATTGCCTACTGCATAGTTGTGCACAAGGTTGCTGAGTGCATTTCGATTTCGTGTTTCAGATATTAATTTGTTAGTAAGAATGCGAAAATGCAGTAGTTGTTAAGTTCACAGTATAAATCCAGAAATTTTCTATACTGTCAATCAACTGCGCATTTCTTTTTTCATCCTCTTTTTCAAAGTCTGTATCATCACATGACATCAACTCATCCACTGTATTCACTGATACACCAAAGAACTCTATTCAGAAAGATTCACGTAAGTCGTCTTATTCTACAGTTTATTAACTCTTATACTTAAGGAAACTAACGATGAATTAATTTCTAGACACACTTTTTAAACTAGGGAGAATTTATTAATGAATGAATGCTGCGTATACGTAGCCTCTGTCATTGAAATCCTACCCTTACGTGATACCTTTATCTCCGCAAAAGTGGAACCTATATAAAGCTAATGATGTGCCTTGTAAACTAGACTTCAAAAACCGAGACTCTGACTTAGTCACTCAGAACACCTATTTCATGTTTGCTGCAGATGTGTTCAGATAACCATCTTCTTTTAGCACATAGTTCAGAGACAAAAACAGACATTTCTGACCTGGCGTCCATTGACCTCAACTCAGCAGTGGTCACAGATAAACTATATTGCTATCGGCTGTGGCTGGAGAAGGTCGGTGGGATATTATCACTTCTTCTGAAAAACGTGTGTGGAAAGAGATCATGCGTTGGTTTGGACACGCGCACATCTACGCCTAAATGAATGTGCGAAAACTACAGCAGCCACATCATTGCGAGTGATGCTTGACGATGAGAATACTAAGACTGATTTCAGCAAGGAACTGCCTGAAAAGTTATCAGTACCGAACGAAATCACTCACCGAGAAGAAGTTTAGTGCCATCTCCAATCTGCTGTAAAAACAGCCTTAAATACCGTAGCTGACCCTCAAAAAGCGGTTAGAAAAAGTTAGTGGATCTCAGCAGCTTCTTCTGAATCAACAGATGCGCGTGAACGCATTTCTGCAGGTTCCGAGCACAGTTAGGATCGCAAATAACACAAATATAGGCTGACAAGTAGTCTGCGCAATGATCGCGAACTGTTGTAGGCAGCGAAAGTTAGAGAGATACGAAAGGCAGTGACGATAAGTAACAGTAGACAGCTACTTGTAACTATCAAGGAGATTGAGGCAAAAGGTTAATGGTTAGCGAACCTATAGCCGAGAAAGATGGATCTACGATTCCTTTGTAGGGAAGGCGACTGGAATGATGGGCGGAACACTTCACCTGGTCTTCAGTTATCGTTCCGTTGCCTACTATCCAGCTGTATCTTGAATGAAACATTGAGATGGGACACTTTTAGAGGCCAAGAAAGTAGTCTGAGATGAGGGAAGGAATCCAGACCAATACCGGCGTTAATTAGAGATGTCGGTCGTACATTACTGGTAGGTTGAATGAAGCGTTAGCTAGTGCATGGGAATCAGGTACTATCGGTTTCAACCACTGATTATCTTAGTCTTCAAGAAAGGGGAGATGTCCGCTTGTTACAACGATAGGGAATCGTTGGTTGTTGGTCTGAGCCGTGTAGGAAAGCGTAGACTTCCAGGTTGGGGTTTGCATGACAACAGAAACTAGAGGTTGCAGACTCTAGGTGATATGGCTTACAATCGACGTCACTAGTGCCGATTTAGGTACACATTATCCTCATATTAGTCATCCTACTGAATTTCAGTACCCACATACATTCTTGCTCTCTTTTTACAACTTTTAACTTCTTTCTTCTTCTTCTTTCGTCTTAGTGCATTCTCGCTTTCTTTGCTGATTTGAGGTATGGCACCTTGGTCTGTAACGCGGTAATGCCTGGTCTTATGTTAATATTGTCTACTTATATGTCCCACCTCGCGTGGTTAACTAGTTCACTAGTTACTAGCCGGTCCTAAGCCCGGGTAAAGAAGGAAGGCTGGGAGTAAGACTACCAACCCTATCCCAGAAAACCAATTCAACCCTCAAAAAACTCCAAAGCACAAACAAAATATCAAAAATAAAAGTAAACTTATTCCTCGCTGCAATTGGGGAGACAAATTGACGCCGGTTGGTGAAAGCCTTCGGCAAGCCAATTGGTCGATGTATCTTCTCTCAATGAAGGCAAAAGTAAACATGGGGACATGGAATATCCCCACAATGTTCGAAGTTAGCAAGGGTGTCCAGATTGCAAAACAAACGAGAAGATATGGCATAGAAGTGCTGAGAATCTGCGAAAGCAGATGGAATGGAAGTGGACTCTCCAAACTGTCAACTGGAGAGTCAATAATCAATCGACTCCGATATTGTCACCCAGACGACAACCATAAGCACACTGAGTTTACGAGTGGCTATCATGATGTCCACTCACAAGAGCATCGAAGGCTCTCCCTCATGCAGTGGGAACCAATCTCCTCCTGCAGGATCAGGATCATGATAACAAGATTCAACTGAAGAGGAAGCAAAGTCACAATCATTTAATGCTACACACATACAAATAATGCAGATGAAGAGAAGAAGGAGGAATTCTACAGACAACTACTAGACAACCACTACTAGACAAGACCGCACACCAGTTGGCGACATCAAAATTCCAATGGGCATGGCGACATGAATGCCAGCCAAACTGTGCACAGACAACACAGGAAGAGAATCAATCATGAGTCGAGAAGCACTCAGTGAAATGATGAGTGAGAATGGAGAAGTGTTTGCAGACTTCTGCACATTCAACAATTTGGTGATTGGAGTCAGGCAGTGTGTATAAAAACACAAGGATATTCACAAGACAGTGACATGGATTTGATTTCACCAGACACCAGACACACTACGCTAGAAGTCAGATCGACTTCATCTCAATCTGAAGAAAGTGAAGATGCAGCCTACTGGACACAAGATCAGATCAAGAAGGGGAGCAGATGTAGGTTCACACCACTCACTATATACTGCAAACAACCTGTCTTCAAAATCAACTTGAAAGCCTTCGACGAAGAAGTTGGTGATAGACCACAGTTGAAGTTCAACACCCAGAAGAGAAACTGAACTGAAGGACGAAACTACAAAGGACATCTTCACGTCAGTCAGTCATCAGGATAAAATAGGAGATATCGAGCAACATCCCTGAAGAAACCTGTGTGGATGAACACTGGAACTCTTTGAAAGCTATGTGGAAAGAAACCTGTATAACCGTACTAGGAAGGAAGAGGGAACAAAACAAGGAATGTATGTCGACGGGCACTTGGAAGCTGATAGAGGAGGGAGAGGGAGAGGGAGAGGAAGATGGTAAAGTCGAAGATAAGCCAGTGGAAGGATGCACAGCGAGAAGAGGAACTGAGTAGAACGTATAAAACACTGGGCAAAGAAGTGAAGAAGAGTGTGAACAAAGACAAGATACCTAATTCTACGACACACTGACAAGTGAAGCAGAACAGGTTGCAGGTACGAGAGACCTTACACAATACTACATAAAATAATCAGGTTACTATCTGGGAACCTCGCCTGGTTAACTAGTTTACTAGTTACTAGCCGGTCCTAAGCCCGGGTAAAGAGGGAAGGTTGGGCATAGGGCTAGCAACCCTACCCCGTAAAACAAATCTAACCGCTAAAGAAACTTCAAAGCACAAACAAAATATAAAAAATGAAAACAAACTTATTCCCCGCTGGAATCGGAGAGGCGAAATGACGCCAGTTGGTGAAAGCCTTCGGGAAGCCAATTGGCCGATGTGTCTTCTCTCGATGAAAGCGAAAGTAAACGTGGGGACATGGAATGTCCGCACCATGTTTGAACCCAGTAAGGCAGCCCAGATTGCAAAGGAGATGAGAAGGTATAACATCGAAGTGCTTGGGATTTGCGAAAGCAGATGGAATGGGAGTGGACTCCCCAAACTGTCAACTGGAGAATCAATAATCTACTCCGGTCACCCAGACGCCAACCACGAGCACACTGAGGGAGTGGCTATCATGATGTCCTCAAGAGCATCGAAGGCTCTCATGCAGTGGGAACCAATCTCCTCCAGGATCATGACAGCAAGATTCAACTCAAAAGGAAGAAAGGTCACAATCATACAATGTTATGCACCTACAAATAATGCAGAGCAAGAGAAAAAGGAGGAATTCTACAGACAACTTCAGTCAACACTGGACAAGACGTCAGTTGGCGATATCAAAATTCTAATGGGCGACATGAATGCCAAACTGGGAGGGGACAACACGGGAAGAGAACTAACCATGGGTCGAGAGGCGCTAGGTGAAATGAATGAGAATGGAGAATTGTTTGCAGAATTCTGTGCATTCAACGATTTGGTGATTGGAGGCAGTGTGTTCAGGCACAAGGATATCCACAAAGCGACATGGACTTCACCAGATGGACACACTAAAAATCAAATCGACTTTATCTCAATCTCAAGAAAATGGAGACGCAGTCTACTTAACACAAGGTCAAGAAGAGGAGCAGATGTAGGTTCAGACCACTATCTAGTGCAAGGAACCTTCCAAATCAAGTTAAAAGCCTTCAAGGAAGCTGGTGATAGACCTCAATTCAAGTACAACACTCGGAAACTGAAGGATGAAACTACAAAGGAGATCTTCAAAGCAGCCATCAAGACAAAATGGGAGACGTCGAGGGACATCCCTGAAGAAACCTGTGTAGAAGAACACTGGAAGTCTTTGAAAGCTATGTGGAAAGAAACCTGCACAGCCGTATTAGGAAGGAAGAAGAAAGAAGACAAGATGAGGAATGGATCTCGACGGATACCTGGAAGCTGATAGAGGAGAGGAGGATGGTGAAGCAGAAGATAAACCAGTGCAAGGATGCTCAACGACAAGAGGAACTGAGCACAATGTATAAAACACTGGATAAAGAAGTGAAGAAGAGTGCACGCAAAGACAAAAGACACTTCTACGAAACACTGGCAAGTGAAGCAGAACAGGCTGCAGGTAAGAGAGACCTGACGACATTGTATCAAATAACCAGGTTGCTATCAGGGAAGAGACCAACACAGATGAAACCAATAAAAGATGAAGAAGGAAATTTAATTACAAAAGAAGAGAAACAGAGGAAACGATGGGCCGACCACTTCAAGAAGCTCTTGAATCGACCACCACCTGCACTTCGTCCAGAAATACCACCTGCAGCCGCTGAATTACAAGTGAACATAAATCCCCCAACGAAAATGGAAGTCCTGAACGCCATAAAGCTACTGAAATGTGGGAAAGCAGCAGGACCAGATGGAATACCGCCAGAAGCACTGAGAACAGATGCAGAGACAACAGCGGACATGCTCACACCACTATTGCAGAAGGTGTGGAAGGAAGAGAAGGTACCTGACGATTGGAAGAAGGGTTACCTTGTCAAACTGCCGAAGAAGGGAGACCTCAGTGTTTGCAAGAACTGGCGCGGAATCACTCTCCTGTCCACCCACAGCAAGCAAAATATTAAGCCGCATCATCCTGGAGAGGCTTAAAGATGCACTGGATTCAAAACTGCGACCGGAACAGGCAGGCTTCAGGAAGTACAAATCATGTGCAGACCAAATTGCAACGCTTCGTATCATCATAGAACAGAGCGTAGAATGGCAATCAGCTCTCTACCTCAACTTCATCGACTTTGAGAAGGCCTTTGACAGCGTCGACCGACAAGTAATTTGGAAACTGCTTCAATACTACGGAGTACCGCAAACCTTTATCCGCCTCATTCAACAACTATATGAAGATGCCACATGCCAAGTAATCCACAATGGGAAGCTCAGTGATGCCTTTGAAGTGAAGACAGGAGTGAAACAAGGTTGCCTACTATCCCCTATGATATTCCTTATTGTGGTGGACTGGATCATGCAGCAAACAGTAGGCAGCGAGAAGAGGGGGATACACTGGACGACGGAAAAGAACCTAGAAGACTTGGATTTCGCCGATGACTTATGCCTAATGTCACATAAACTTGAAGATCTGCAGGCAAAAACTAACAAGTTGACAGAAGAGGCAGCTAAGACGGGACTTCAGGTGAATATAGAGAAGACAGAAGTGATGAAGATACCGCACCACCACCATCAACAACAACAACAAACTCCAATCACCGTCAACGGGAGAAACTTGAAGGAAGTAACCTCCTTCACTTATCTAGGAAGCACTGTTTCAACTACAGGCGGGACGGACGAGGACGTCAAAGTCAGAATCGGAAAAGCAAGACAGGCGTTCATTAGCCTGAAACCAGTGTGGAGATCTTCTGCACTCAGCATGTGGAACAAGATACGGATTTTCAACACCAACGTCAAGTCAGTGCTCTTGTATGGCTCAGAGACTTGGCGCGTCACGAAAGGTATTTCCAATAAACTACAGACATTCATCAACAACTGCTTACGCTCGCTGCTGAAGATCAGATGGCCAGAAAAAATAAGCAACAAGGAACTCTGGGAACGAACCAACCAAGAACCTATCACGCAACAAATATGCAGGAAGAAGTGGAGATGGATTGGGCATGCACTGAGAAGGCCGACTGAGGACATCACGCGTCAGGCCCTCGAGTGGAATCCCCATGGGAAGCGACGAGTTGGACGTCCGAGGGTGACATGGAGGAGGTCATGCGAGGAGGAAATGAGAGGTTGTGGGCTGTCGTGGAACCAGGTTCAAAAGATCTCAGAGAACAGAGGTCACTGGAGGCGTGCTACTGAAGCCCTATGTTCCACTAGGAACCCAAGGGACTAATAATAATAATAATAATCTGGGAAGAGATTAACGCAGATGAAAGCAATGAAAGATAGTAAAGGAAAGCTAGTTACTAAAGAGGAGAAATAAAGGGAACAATGGGCTGACTACTTCAAAAAACTCTTGAATCGGCCACCACAACCACCAACTGCAACTCGTCCAGAAATACTACCAGCAACGACAGAACTACAAGCAAACACACAGGCCCTCCGACAATAGCAGGAGTCCTGAATCCCATAAAGTTGCAGAAATCCGAGAGAGCAGCAGGACCAGATGGAATTCTTCCAGAAACACTGAAAACAGACGCAGAGACGACAGCAGCAGACATGCTCACACCACACTACTACTGCAGAAGGTTTGCAAGGAAGGCAGGAAGGGTACCTGTGGTTTGATTGAAAGAAGGGCTACCTTGTGAAACTTCCAAACAAGGGAGACCTAAGTCTTTGCAAGAACTAGCGTGGAATCATGCTCCTGTCCACCCTAAGCAAAATATTATGCCGCATCATCCTGGAGAGACTAAAAGATGCTCTGCATTCAAAATAACGACCGGAACAGGCTGGCTGGCTGGCTTCAGGAAGTACAAATTATGTGCGGACCAAATTGTAAAGCTACGCTACTCATCATCATGGAACAGAGCATAGAATGGCAGTCAACTCAACTCAGCTCAACTCAACCTCAACTTTATCGACTTTGAAAAGGCCTTCGACAGCGTCGACCGAGAAGTAATTTGACAGGCAGCTGCTTGCTTCAACACTACGTTTTCAGTGCCACAAACCTTTATGAACCTCATGCCATATGATGCTACATGCCAAGTGATTCACAATGGAAAGCTCAACGATGCCTTTGAAGTGAAGACAGGAGTAAGACAAGACTACCGCCTACTGTCACCGATGATCTTTCTGATTGTGGTCGACTGGACTGGGTGATGCAACAGACAACTGTGAGGAGCGGGAAGATGGGCATTCGCTGGCTGGACGGATGAAAAGACCCCAGGAGAAGATTTGGATTTCGCCGCCGATGATGATGATGATTTATGTCTAATGTTTTGTTGCACAAACTCGAAGATCTACAGGCAAAAACCAACAAGTTGGCAGGTGAGGTGAGGCGAAGACGGGACTTCGTTCAGGTGAATGTAGAGAAGACATAGGTGATGAAGATACCCACCCAGCCAACAACAGCATCAACAACCAGCACCAATAACCATCAACGGGATAAATGTGAGAGAAATTGTCTATTTCACCTACCATCTAGGCAGCATCGTTTCAACTACAGGTGGCACAGAAACAGATGGGGATGTCAAAACCAGGATTGGAAAAGCAAGACAGGCCTTCATCAATTCGAAATCAGTGTGGAGATCTACTGCACTGCACTGCACTGCACTGCACTCAGCGTAAATAACATGATCCGGATTTTCAACACTAATGTCAAGTAAGTCAGTGTTTCTATATGGTTCAGAGACTTGGCGTGTTACGAAAAGCATTTGCAACAAACTACAGACATTGATCAACAGCTGCTGCCTACCCTCACTAGATACTGAAGATCAGATAGTCAGAATAATAAGAATAAGCAACAAGGAACTCTGACTGGCTGGCAACGAACCAACCAAGAACCTAACGCCCAACAAATATGCAGAAGAAAATGGAGGTGGATTGGGAATACACTGAGAAAGCTGATTGGAGACATCACGCGCCAGGCCCTCGAGTGGAACCCAAAGGGGAGACGACAAGTTGGGCGTCCGAGGGTGACATGGAGATCATGTGAGGAGGAAATGAAAGGTAATGGGAAGTCGTGGAGTCAGGTTGAACAGACTGCAGAGAACAGAGTGGAATGGAGGCGTGCTACTGAAGCCCTATGTCTCCTTAGGAAGCCAAGGGGAAAATAATGATATGTCCTGCTTCATATTGAGTTTGAATCCAAAGCCATATCTCTTGAGAAATCCTATTTTTGAAAAGGAAAGAACACAAAATGAAGTTTAATTAATAGTTACCCTTTATACTCATATTCTGACAAATACCGATTGTTTTTGTTAGCAACAATTCAGAGTAGCATTTCCGTGCATATTGTTAACCAGTCTTTCACTGCTAATCCCCTTGTTAATACCTGTAGTAATAATAACAGCAGCATATGATCTTCCTTCTCCTACATCTTCGTATGTCATCCTAGTCTCGCTTTGTGCAGCAGATGTCTTAGTGTCCTATTTTACTAAACGAGAAAAGCGTTTTCGCTAACGTACCACCTTCTATGTGTAAAACTTTGGATTCTGTCTTATTCGGTGGATCGAGTGTACACTTTGTTGAGAATCTTCAAATTGTTGTGGATTTTTCACTTGGTATTTTAAATCACATCAAATGCACACTGTAGATGTGTATTCAAGAAGCTAGAAGTCAAATGCACAGTTTATTAACTAAGTGCAACACATATCTTTATCCAGTGAGAACTAGTATTGATCTCTTAAAGTGAGATTTCCAGATTTCAGTTTTTTAAAAATGTTTCACTAAGTTAATGAGATTTCTTTTGTCCAAGCGAATCCAATATCTAGTCAACAAGTATTGTCAACTGTGGAGCCCACGTTTCCATATTTGTATTCCCTTTTTAGATCATATCGGCAAGTATTCTAAGTACTTGTTTTTTTCATCGGAGATAAAATCTACTTTTTACGTACAGACACTGTTTTTGTTTGGCTTATTTTTATTTTTCTATAGTAAAGATTATCCTTATGCGTTATCGAAAACTTGGTGAACTTCGTCAAATTTAAGCTTAAGGATTTGAGGAATTAATTCAGTTCAGAGGTGCTCTCAGGCTTCCAATGATTCTCTAATTGATATCAATCCGTGATGAATTTCAACGTAAGAGAATTAATTCAGTTGATGAGATTGTGCTCTGGTGTGGTGACTGTAATAAACGACCAGTTTATGTTATTCGTTGCCAAACAGCTACTAACTTCATATTCTCCGTTGTGACTAGAACATTATTTGAATATATTCAGGGTAATCAGTTGAAGATAAGACACTTATCCATGAATCTAATGACGCTTGGGTTAGTTTGTGTAGAGAGTCTTAAGTGTTTCTCCTGAATTCCTAAATGTCGATGAAACTTACAAACAGTTTAAGTACATCACAGTTGAAAACAGTTGTGTGGCAAATTGAATCGATACATCATGTCAATCTTTTCTGACTTTTTTCCAGTAAGACCATCAATGTCGTGTACTGCCGACTTATTTTCCTTGTTTTTCATGTAATTATACTTTATATTTTCAAGTAATCAGCTTTTGATAACCTCCAATGTTTTTTCTACAAGTGTTCATGTTTTACGCCTTATAAAGGTTATTACAATTCTCGTACACTTCTAGATAACAAAAAGTGGTCTCGAGTTCTGGTATTTCGTAGTAAACTTACTATGCATACAGCTTATGAGCGTGCAGACAACAAATCTCCAGCTGATATTACAGCTTTAGCAATTTCTCGTGATCATCGTTCTGTACTGGTGGGTGATGCTATTGGTCGTGTATTTGTTTGGTCTGTACCATCAGATAACTCTCGGGGTGGTATGACTGACCAGTGGGTTAAAGATGAAGGTGCTACAAACTGTGCAGCTGATGGCTGTGGTACACGGTTTTCGTTAACAGAAAGAAAACACCATTGCAGAAATTGTGGCAAAGTATTCTGTTCTAAGTGAGTTTACAATAAACTTTATGAATACCTCTGTAATTTAACAGGTAATGTAGATATCTAGACTATAGGTGTTTCTTTAATATAGGTGTAGAACTTGGGCACTGGTAGAATTTAATTCCATATTAGATTTGTTTGATTTATAACACACAGTGATCTAGTATTATTTACTTGATGACGTTCCGAGCATAAACTATTGCTCATAATGTCGAATGTCATAGATGAATTTGAGCCCCGAGTGTAATATAAGAGGTATTAAATAAGTTTTAATACAACCCCAGCGTATTTATGCTATGGTGGGTAATAAGATTTTCTAGATTCTTCAAATAAGCCGAAAACCTTTGGGGTCTTTCACAACCAATCATTACAATCCTGTGTTTTGAGGAAAAAAACACGATCATGCACAAATATCAGGTTGATCTAAAGAGGGAAATTAGTATTTTAAAAAACAGATGTAACCTGATATATACATCTGTATAATTGGACAATAACCTTTAGACCCCTAACTTGGTCGCTCAGTTGTTCAAGTCCACATGTATATATCAAGTTACATCTGTCCTGAATTTCTGAACATGCTGGGGTTAGCCCAGAATTGTTTTTTTGTAATCAGTTAACAAGTTATTTCAGGAGTGTATTGCTAATCCCAGTTCTGGTAAGTAGCGTACACACTGCAATTCTAATTGTGAATTTATCAATTATATAGTTGTCGACAAAAACTCCAGAGCCTAAACTTCTTAATGCTAACCGGAAGTCGCGTATTTAATCATTGCATAAATATGATCTCTCAAATTTAATTGATCAGGTCGTAGTACACAGACAAACTTAGTGGCAATCACTTCAGTCTTAATTCTCAACTTGAAGGCGGTTGTGTGTTCTGTTCATTATGAAAACGTTTCACTAAAGGAAGTGTGTCAAGAATATTATATCCTTCAGTCCTTTCTGGTCAAACGTTTGTGGTCATGAAAACGTACTATGAGCTTTTTCAAGTGTATGCTTTGAATTTCGCGTGTTTGTGTGCAACAGTTTCATAGGTGTGCTTCCGCACCTAATATCTTATAACAAACTGAGATTACTCAAGCCGTGATATATTCCTTTGTAGGTAATAATAAGAAAATGATTTTACCACCCCCCCCCCCCCAACCTTTAGATAGAAATTATTGCGTCGAGACTGTTCTTCATTGGTGTCTTGATTGGTAACAAAGACTATAGTGATTGAGCGCGTTGTTCATTCCACTTATTTGAAAAATGACTTTCGGCATGAATACAGATGGTTCTTCTGATTTTTGTCAACTTACTCTACTTCTTAGTTGAATGGGGGCGATTGGCAGGAAGCCCTGGACCTGGGTTTCGTGTTTGTTGGGGCTCGACAGCAAGGCGTCACCTAGTGTTGTAGTCAGAGACGTTATCACTAAGCTATTCGGGCTGCAACTGACCTGTAGGACTGGATTAGATACATTCATTGGCCACTGGAGGGTAACCAACTTCAGGTTGTATAGTATTATATGGTGACCGAATTCTATCGATCATTTTGCAATGTGGCCACCAGGGCTTCCTGCTGATTGCCACCATCCAATTAACATCTATCAAAATGCGTCGCAGTGCTGAGCTGCCTAGTCTGATGGCCATATTGCAAAATGTTAGACAGAATTCGATCAGGATGAAGTTGGTTACCCTGCAGTGACTAATCAATGAGATATCCGACTGTTAATTAAAGTCAAGTTTCAAAAAATCGCCTCCTATGGTCCGCTGAAATAACAGTTTTGTTCATCACATTTATTGTAAATAACTGAATCAGATTTGTGGACATTATAGTAGCACTTCTGAATGATATTTTTATTTAACCTTTTTGTGTATATTTATCCAAAATCGTAGGCTTTACTCTTGACGGTCGCTCGGCTCCTCTAGAACAAAAAGAAGCGGCAAAAACGATAAAAGGTTTATTGTTATATCGAACATGCACAAAGTGTGAAGGTTTATGTTTTCGGTGACCTTGATATGCCCTAGAATCCCTATAACCAATCTGAAACTCAAACGTATTATCACGTGGTTTTTTGCGAACGTTCGTCATTCCATGATTGGTTGTGAAAGCCTTTCAGAAAATCCTAGGCTTCTCTGAGGAATTTAGAGGACGTTGTCTTAACAAATGTTTCAGCAAAAGGAGTTGAAATATGCAAAATATGATAACTGCATTCTTTGATAGAAAATAGGGTTGCATAGATCGTTTAAAAGCTGTGTGATTATACTTCCTGGAATGACATTCACCAAATAAACTTCAAAAAAAAATAACGTCTGCTGGGTAATTGGAATAATTTTCCGTAGATGTTAATTATTTGACTGAAATAAAAAAAATGCGTTCGGTTTTGAATGCCAAATATCCTGAATAAAACCATTCCATCCCAATCAGACTTCTAATCCTACTGGTAATATTGCTGTGCCTGGGCCGATGCTTGGCTATAATTTATTAGTAGATCTCATTTATACGAAAAGAATTGTTTTACTCAGTTATTAAAAACTAATATTTTAACTATCGCTTGTTTTACCTGCTTATAAATGTAGATGCAGTCGATTTGAAAGTGAAATTTATCGTCTGAGGCTGTTCAAACCAGTACGAGTTTGTCAGTCCTGTCATAATGTGTTAAAGTTAATCCAAGCTCCACAAAATCGTGAAGCAATTACCTCTTCTTGATACTTTGTGTAAAAAAGACAACATTTATACGATGTACATACTTACAATATATACGCAGAGAGAGAGAAAGAGTGAATAAAAATATAGAGGATTCATTTTCATAGCCTTAAAAGAAACTAACTCTCGTGATATCCTCTTATTGTCAGCATAATTCTTATCTTTTAAATATTGAATGCTTCCTCTTTCCTATTACTTTTCTGTAAGGTTGTGCAACTACGATTTTTATAACTGTTTCGACGTTGTTTCAACCGTACCCCCCCCCTCAGCGTCCACATTATGTTCGATTCTCATTAGTCACACACTACCAGCATATGAATACCATTCTCTCATTAGATTTATTTTTCGCTTACTGTTCTTATTGGTGGTCATAATGTAGTAATACTAGTGCCAGTAAACGGCACCCCGGGTGAGAATGCGTTGGGGCAGAAACCCTTTATCTTATCGTCTTACTACGTTTTATATTAAGCCGGTACATACTCTGTGTTTATTTGTGTACATAATTCACTGTCATGAAGTTTTTGTTTTTGTCATACACACTAAATCACCCGAAGTCAAAATATCATCTGGATAAGATGTGGGCTTCAGTTCGAATCTTTCTTACTTTTTCATTACTTACACCGTCACCATTTGATAAAGAATTATGTTCTGTTTCTTTTCTCAAGAGACAATTGTGTTTGTTGTTTCGCACTTCCCCCCACTTGTTTCCTACCTAACTTTTTTGCTGTGATCTTCGGTGTCCTTTCCCCCCATCATACTGTGATATGTATACCTGAGAATGTATGTTGTGTATCTGACGTTTTGATTATCTCTTATTAAAGTGTATTCCAATTGTCGCAAATAAATTTACTATTTACACTATACATATAAACAACTCAAATCAAGAAGTAAATTTTCTATTTGATTGCTTTTTTGATGTCCATCCATTGTTCTACGTTGTTGTTTCTAGTTATCATATACGCCACTACAGCCATCTTTTAAACCGCTGATTTCAGTTGAAAAACTGCCAGTTTCATAAGAGAAAAGTACTTATGAAGCATATCAAACGAAGTAAAATTGGTTGATAATTAGGTTCTAATAGTTGCATATACCAATATTGTCTGCCTGAGTCTCTCTGAACAACATAAGTCGAAAAGGATTTCAAAGATGACACAAGACACAATGTTTAAATTGTTAGTAAAGCGGAATGAAATAACGGGTACTACAACAATTTCGCAGTTCATTTAACACGTTTGTTTGTCGTACAATCAAGCCAAATATTGAATCCAATACTAAAATACCTGATAAGTAATATAAATACATCCAGACTCTGTGAAATGAGATTGCAGAAGTATCCTATCATTCACCATATGGTAAACCGTTGGTTACCAGCTCCCTAGTTACCTTGCTGGCCAGACCCTGGCATACTGCTGACAATGAATGAACTCAACATCTTGGAACCGGATAATATCCACCTATTTAGTAGCCTATGATTATTATCACTGAGTAATCTAGTGAAAAATGCTTTGAACCGAAATTCACCAGGAAGCCTAAATTGAGTAGGAATAAACGAGTAAGTATACTGTACCAGATGTTCATGATCTATTATAATTGCATTTTCAGGAAAACAATATTTTCGTATCTTGCATATTTTTTCATCATACATCGGTGAGACTCTCTTTTTCGCGATTGACTAGCATTAACAGTTTGGTGCAATTACATAAGGTATATTTATTTCTAGGAAGTGGTACATTTTCTCTACCATTGTATTTCAACAAACGATATGCATCCATTTGGTCTTTTTGATTTAATAAACATCTGAACCTGTTACAATTCGAAATCAGTACTTGTGACTTAACTTTCTTGTCATACGTAGTGTCTGTTAATCAGGACAGTTTGTGGCAAAGAACTAATTTCATCCTTATCGGACTGAACTCATATAAATCCATTATATACATTAAGGTTGTCGATGGGAGGTATCTGAATGAGATAATAGGGTAGTTTTGCATGACCGAAGAGATCAGTCACGCACAACTGTTCTAGAAGTTAGGGATTTACCTTGGTTGCATTGAATACAGGTTAAAAAAGCCCATACCACCGACAGAGGACGATAACAACGGCATGAACTGATAGTCATTCATGGGAAACATATTACTCCTGTCACACCCCGTACAGCCAGCAGTACAACTTCGCTCTCAGACCCTATCACAGAGTAGACGTTTATGTTATAACGTGAAATTCTTCGGTCGTACAACTAGCCAACAGTCACGACTATTTCACTTTTCTTTGTTTACCTTTGGCGGTTCATCTTTTAATAAAATCTTTAGTAGAATGTGCACCGTATCAGTACGTAAGTATTCAACCTTGCGAAGTACAAAAACCTTATTTACTCTTTATGGTTTTGACCACCCAAAACCTATCTTATCGTTCGCTTCGGTGTAATATATATATATATATATATATATATATATATATATATATATATCTGTAAATGTAGAAAGTCGTCTTCTTGAAGATAAGTGAACTTATGTTGTGTAACTTGCAGATTAACTACGTCTTCACCGATTGATATGTATGACATGGTAAAGGAAAAAACATAGTTCAGTAAGTTGTATTATGGTACGAAATAGTATCTTACAGAAGAGGAAAAATGATGAATAAAAAATAATGCCGTCATAAGAAAAGGCTATGAACAGTGTGGATAAATGATAAGATTCAAAGAATGCACAATCTACACATATCCACAGGATGCAGCAAGGCAAGTTATCACAGGGAATTATGGAGATTTATCTACCATGTATTGAAGAGGCATGACAATGGACTCACGAAATCGTATACTTAGCGTCCTATAAAAATGGAAATGAAAGAAATCTAAGGATTATTACGGACATCATAGGTGCACAAGTAAACGGATAAATCAACGTCTAAACTTGAATCCGCATACGGCTCAGACCAACAGACAAACATTTTATAGGCTGTTGGCACGCTTTGGTTTGCTTACCTTCAATTTTTCATTCCAATACACAGAGACAGACGAAATTAACGTAGAACCTCGCACAGAAGTGCACCGGTTCAAGTTGCCACACTTCACACCACCATCCAAAGAAAATTTAGTAGAAAAAGATACTAAAGTAATCAAAAATGTTTAGGAAGAAAAGAAATTTGAAAATGAACGTTTGTGAAAATGTTCAAGCTTTGGAAGACATCAAAGCGTGAGTGGCTCTGCACTACTGCGACCGATTTTATGCAACGTCATCAATAGATTCCAATCTAACTTCAGTCAGCATTGCACGACAGGCAGGGAGAAAGAGAAAATCAACGTAGAACCTCGTACAGGAGTGCATCGGTTCAAGTTGTTACACTTCACAGTAAAACACAAAGAACAGCTGAGTATAAAAAGTGATACCAAACTGGACAGTTATGTGAGGGAATGAACACTGAAGGAAACGGCTAGTGCGAATATTCAAGCTTTAGAAGACGTCAAGGAGTAAGTACATCTATACCATTGTAACTGATTTCCAGCTGTGTCACCAAGATTTCTCAACCACTAATTTCCCTCATCTCGGAGACCCCAACCAGGCAGCTTACCTACCCCTACACGACTCAGACCACAAGTCAGGAACTGCATTGACTGTGGCCATGTCTTGGTTTGGCCACCCTGAACTGTCTTCCAACTTAACCCAACATACCTTAACATGGCACGTCGAGGTACCCAGTGGCTCGGCAAACACAGTACACGTTCACACCATTTCAGTCAATTAAGGTTCCCAACCTCGTCAATCAACTTCCCTATCGTGAATAGCATTTTTCCCCTGAACTCAACATTGCTAACACGGTGATTCTACCAAACACGGGCAATGCTACGAAGACATCTGGGATCAAAGCTCTGTAATCGCCATTTTTTTACTTCTAAAGGCCATGTTTCAGCCGTAGAACAAGATAGGATGAGCTGATGTGCAGCATACTCGTCTTTTGATAGACAGATAAATAGATATATGGTCAGATATCTCGCCAGTCGGCAACACAGGTGACGCACGTTCTCAGATCCCAATCGAGCCTTCTCTATCCCAGCTGGGATTTCGTCAACAACTAGCGTCTTCAGGCTGATACAACTCCCCAAGTAAGTGGAGTGGTCGACACATTCCACGTCTTCATTCTCTATCATTAAACTGCGAGTGGTTGCAGCAGACCAGTCCCGGGACATCGCTTACAATTGACACATGCGAAACTCATAACAAACATGCTCAGATGTTTGCTCAAGACGTCCACCAGACTACATTTTGCCAGCGTCTTCACCTAGCAGGACAACCAGATGACCTCCAGGGAGTAGGCCAATCCCTGTAAAGTTACAGGTACCTAGGGTTATGTTTATTAGTACGTCTATGACGAAATTAAATAGGAACCGTGACAGAGGGCATACCTGCTGGACACCAATAATTGTCATTAATTCAGACGACACCTCTGCATAAGCCCTGACACGACTGCATGAGTCCGAGTAGAGTTTTGATTAGCGTCATATATTTGTTCGGCACTCCCTTCACAGTCAGACACTGTCACAACATCACCCTCAAGTCAAGAAGTCTGGTAAGTATCGGCCGCCGGTATGTAAGCCTGTGCCAGTCGGAGGGGAAAAATAAGATCCATGCACCATCGATCAGGTCTGAAACCCGTCTGGTTTTCCCGAGTTTGCTATCCTCGAGCTCCAGGTAGTCAGGTGTCGGGTAACTATGGGTCCGAGGATCTGGTGTACACAATATTAATCAAACCATTTCCCTATGGTTGTCACAAGATTTCTCCCCCTTCTTATAGACTCGGATGATCACTGAAGTACACCAGTCTGATGGCATTACCTCCAAATCCCATACACTCCATAGCATCTCCGTCACTCTAACCAACAATTTCCAATCTTCATCCTTGAAAACTTCGGTATAAACTCCCAGGTTCTGCTCCTTTGCATCGTCTCAGGTTCGATACAACTTTCTAAACTTTAAGAAGAACTGAAGGACTAACACCTACGTCCCACTCAGGTTCAGACTGGATGATGGACAACTGAAGCGTTCCTGAGGGCCAATTGGACTGGGTTCCAAAGTGTCCTGCTCAACGTTCTAGTCACCAGTACTGGGAGGTTATCAGCGTCCCATCCTATGCGGTAATAGTTTCAATAACCATCGTCTTTTTCTTGCCGGTGTCCTTAGTAGTAAGCCTAAATAGTTGCCGACTGTTACCCAACGCTGATGCATTCTTCATCTCTCTCGTTCTCGCCATCCACCACTGCGAAGACTCTTACTTAATTTAAGTTGTTTTCGTTCTTCGTCGTAGTCAGAACCAGCTGGAAATAGTCTTCTCGCATCAATCAGTTCAAATGACATTCTGGAAATCCAATCACGTTTGCTAACCTTCATATGTAGGTCAACAACCGTCTTTACCACTGTTTCTACGACAGACTTAATATGACGCCACTCCAGGGTTCCTCAGGACGAGCACTGCTGTCATATCCAGGTAAATGCTTAGCTAACCCCTGCCTAAATGCGTACTTGACGTTCTCATCTTCCAATCGACCACTTTCGCCTGTTTCCTGCGGCTAAAAAGGCGTAAACATATACGAGCCTGTAATAGCGAGTCCCAACAAGTACTCCAGAAAAAGCGGCAATTCTCCACCTACTCCAACGATGGCTTATAACAATGTGATTTACCGGTATCCATAAATGGTTTCACGTCGGCGGACGCCATGTGAGACTGTCTCTCCTTATGCGTGAAGTGAGTGCTGGTCAGAACAAAATTGCAACTGACGATCACCGTTGGCGTGGCACTCCGTAAATGCCTTTCCGGCCCAGCCTCCCTACTTGAGCGTTGAAGTCACCTACCATTATAACTACATCTGAACGTTTTGTTTTCCGCAGCAAAATTGACAGCTCATAGAATTCATCCTTTACATCCTAACTACAGTCGGTGGATGCGTGGACGGAGATTACGAATGGGTATCACCTAGTCTCACAATCCTTCCTAGTTCTTACAGATCCATTCAGTCGAACAGTACATATACGGCTGTTGGCTGGTATGCAGTCGAGAAGTGCATTTTCTGTTCCACAATTCAATGCTATAGCTACACCGGTGAGTGCACGAGAGATAGCCATACACTCGCAAAGTGAATTTCGAGGATTCACTACTATGGGTAGATGATGTCAATTTAATAATCACACTCGGATCCTGTATACGTATCTCATAGACAACATACATCTATGCCTAGAATCCAGAGTTTTAGCGATGGATGAGTGTTGTCCGACTTGACATAGAGTCCGGACGCCGAAAGGTCCTACAAGAAATCGATGGTGCCATCTTAGAAGACTAGAAATGAGGTTTTGATGGCTTAGTCTCTGCAGTGAAGCAAAAGGCTCACTTGGCTTTTGTCACTTTACGCCTTAAGACGGCGGTAACATCCGACCACCTATTGAGGGCGGAATGTACTCAGCAGTCATTCATTGTCCTACCACAAAGATATGAAAAATGATTATGAAACGTGAAAATGGGGTTTAAGGTTCCCAACCACCATTGCATCTTTTGTATAGCCTTCATCGTATCACTACATCAGTAACAAACAAGTGAGGCGTAATCTCAGGCAAAAAGAAAACGATTAGTGAGGTTGCTAACTTTCCCTGGTTGAGGTGGCCTTGTACATTCTATGCATGTTCATACACCTTAAACTCCGACATGAAGG